GTAGCAATTGTGAGAGCCAATTAAGATAATTGGTACCGTCCATCTTCACTGAAACCAACTGAGAAAAGTTTGGTTGAGAGAAAACCAAGGCAGCGGTAGGAGCGGAAGCCATTATAATCACAGGAAAAAAAAAAACTTGATTTAGCGTAAGCTATAGAAGCTCTGATACCATGAAAGAATTGTATAAAATGGTGTTGGTTCAAGTTGCCAAGACCAGAGAACTTGTATTCATTTATATAGAGTTTACAACATAAAGGCTGAGATTCTGTACATAGAGATATGCAGATTAAGAGGAGAGAATAAAGGTTAGAAGTAAGGAAAGGAGAATATTATGCAATAATCAAGTAATCATCTCTTCTTATAATCACGTCTCTTCCAATATAGGTGGCTGATTATTAGGTATCTTAACAACTTCCACCGATAAGTAAAGCATATGGGACAGCATGTTTGTTCACAACCATTGCATTTCAAATTGGGTTGCTCCAGCTTGACCACATTGCATTGCTTCATGAGCTAGTGATCTTCCGTTTTCAGGTGAATTTTTAATTTTTGTTGAACCATTTTACAATAAATGCTTATGGACGATTAATTCTAACATAAACAATTCGTACTTTATGACTCCTATTTATTCCTCGTCACTCTCGGAAAGTTGATAAATTCCATTATAGTTTTTTATAATGATATTATCTTATTAATTTATGTGAATCTTAAAAATGAAAAATAGCGATACATAAGTTGGGCCAGACCATTTGGCTTGAGCACACGAACTTCTGCCTGGATCTCGGGTTGCACCCAATTACAGAGTGGCTCTCCAATATTTGCTTCAGAATATTTTATTAAGGGGAAGTCAAGACCCTAAAATTATCAGCGTTACACCCTCACTGATCCCTCCCATTTCAATGCCCGAAACTGCTCGCACACAAGTCCCTCTTGAGTTGGACAAAATCGTTCTCGCTGCATTCCTTTCATTTTCGCATCTGCATATGTGGTTGTCGACCCTCTTCCTAGTAGAACCACACTGGTGACTCGCTGTCAAATCTCATTTCTGCAGCCTCTAATTTCTCTATCCCAGTCATCAAATTCACTGCAATCTCAAGGCACTCGAATAAGTAGCACTGTTTTTTGTTTTTTTTGAATTTCATCCTTACCCTCCCCAAAGGAGGCTCGAACCTAGGCCAATGACCTAGTAAGACTTTGCTTTTACCACTTGATCTAGGCCTTGGCATAGGTTTATCAAACACGTGATACAGTTTTAAATCACTTCTTGCAGTGTTAATACTACAAAATGCATATGCAAGATTAAAATTTCGTGGAATACTATTTCTCTAGCTCGCTTTCTCTTTCTCTCTTCTAGAAACACAAACAGACGAATGATTTTCTGTTTGCGGGAACATTTGGTTACTAGCATTCATTAATGTATTGCTTGGAAAAATGATACAAATGCATTTCATATGGACTTGATTTGTGCAAGTTGTACATTGTTTAATGGTTTTCATCCTTATTTTCAGGTGTGGGGCCTGATTACAAACTTCTTTTTTCTTGGCAAATTTTCAATCAATTTCGGGATACGCCTCTTAATGATGTACGAGCAATACATTCTGATCCATACCAGTTAAACCAATTAAGATATTACTTCTGTGATATTATAAGCTTTGCCGGTGGCACTTAGGTATAGTTATGATATGCTATTGGATTAAGATTTTCCGTGCATCAATGCTATGTGTAATTGACTTTTGTAGAGCAAGATATGGAGTCCAACTGGAAAATGGACCTTTCCAAAGACGCACAGCAGATTTCTTGTGGATGATGATTTTTGGAGCTTTGTCACTATTGGTATGTAAAATTCTCTCTCTGTGTGCGCCGGGGAGGCCATTTCATTTTCTCCCTTTTCCTTTCTCTCTCTCTATATTTAAAGAGGATCAAAGGCAAATGCACCATTTACCATTTACAAGTTAGCTGAAATTGGCAAGTTCCACTCTTTCTTCTCAGTTAATTGGTTAACATGATAGGCACTTTATTTGGGCAGTGAATAGGTTAAACATATCATGTTTATAAACACTCAAGCCACTTTTTATCTACATATTTCGAGGGACCTTACTTATACACCACTCATTTTTTATCTATTTTTAATTTAAACAATTTAGCCTGCGTTTGGTGCTCATTCTTGCCAAGAAAATGCATTTTGTCTTTCACATCATAAACAGTGTTTGTGTAAAGTCTGTAACAATTGACTTCTATACAATTCTTCTAATTTTGCCCCTCCAGAAAATTTACTTCTCCAAATGTGTCGGAGAGGCAAAAGAGCACATATGTCAAATCATTTTGGAGTGGTTACTGTTGTACAAATGAGTGGCCTGCAAGTTTGTCAGCATTTTACTGTGTAACGGTCAATTTTCTTCTACTTCAACTGAAAAAATGGCTCCCAAACGCAGGCTTAGAAACACTTCCCAAAATATCATAAGATGTTTTACGTTTCTTTCTTTTTCACTCGATCTCATCTTCCTCTTCATTATCCTCTTGCCTTTTCGTTAATAATTTCCTTTGTTATATCAATGTCTTCACCTCTAGTACAACAATTCACATCAAGATGTTTTGGCATAATTGCAACTTATATGAATAGATGCGTTATATATAACAAGGTTGTTACCTTCATGTTTAGGTTCTATCTGCAATACCCTTCTTCAGGTCCTATTTCTTAGGGGTATCACTTGTTTTTATGCTTCTATATGTCTGGAGTAGAGAACATCCGAATGCCACCATCAATATATATGGCCTTGTGTCTCTTAAGGTAAATCTTTTTTCTGAATATTTTGGATTATGCGCCTGTTAATGGGATTTATGGGTTTTTAAGTTTTTTTTTTGTTTTCTCTTACTCTACTTTTTCCTTGTAGGCATTTTATTTACCATGGGCCATGCTCTGCTTGGATGTTATTTTTGGTTCTCCAATTGCGCCCGATCTTTTAGGAATTATTGCTGGGCATCTCTACTACTTCCTGACCGTGTTGCATCCAATGGCTGGTGGGAAAACCATACTGAAAACTCCAGTTTTGATGTATCCTTTTATTTGGTTTCTTCAGGGGACATATCATACATACACACACAAGCGGATTGCCTCTCCTCACTTCTTGTTTTTATTCGATTCTGTCAATTTCCTTAACTGTTGCATCACAGACAAAAACTAGTTGTGCAATGGAGAATTGGAGCTCCGGCAAATAACTCCCCCCAGCCCGAAAGAACTTCTGGTGGGGCATTCAGAGGAAGATCTCACCGACTTGCTGGATAAAGTTTCCTTATCTGCAACTCTCTTTAGTTGCCAATCTCGAAAATCACATTAATTTTGGTGCACATGTTGAAATAACTGCTGACGACGAAATAGATGGAATGGTAGATGTGATCTAGATTTGAGCATCCAAGTTGCAATATGGTGCACTCTCTTCCTCCACCGATTTTCATAGTATTTTGCCCGATGGATTTTGTTGATAAATACTGAGTCAATACATACATACAAAATTAAAGTCTTTCGTTTGGATTAGTCTCTAGGGTTTTATCATTTGCAGGGGTTAGTAATATAATTCATATTATTTATAAATGTGGATTCTATCAAACAATCTTGATTCTATACCTATTTGGTTTAGCTAAAAATCATATAATCAGTAGATTTTGATAAAAAAAAATTGATGAAATATATATTTGAAAAGTCATTAAAAGTTATGAGTTTCCATAAAAGGTATGATTAAAGATTTTAATTTAAATTTTTATAAATCTTTTAATATAAACAAATAAAGGGCTGAGAGTAATTTACATCAATCTAATTGGCTATTGGTGTAACACCCTTAAAAATTATAGAAACCTGCTCTGACAAAGTGTTTTGCACAACATATTCCTCCTTTAATAATTTGGATGTCATTGGCTGGCGATAAAGTTGTTAGAATAGAGCTAGAGAAGGGGAAGGAAGCATGGTGAATCTAGTATATCTTCTACATAAATGCAAAACAATATCTAGTACGTATGGAACAGATCATCTTGGCAACAAGTGCAAGGAGAATACATGGATCTTGCTATAACCAAGAAAAAAATTACAATATTTACGGGACACTTTCCAACTAGACTGAATCTCGTCAAATAAAATGAATCACATCATTTTGAGCACTATCAATGTATTGATATATGTCTGATGCTACGTGAGAAACCCAGTTCGCCGTAGTACCGAAAAAGAGTTCCCAAAACCAGAGATCCAATGCAAGTACTGAAGAAAAGATGAGCAATGCAAGAGTTTGGTATCGGTTTAATGGCCATCCCAACAGTTCAGCTAGTGTTTTCAGAAAAGGAAACGATTTACTTGTCATATGCTTATTTGTGATTGACCAAGCGGTAATCCACTGCACCCGGGAGGGAACAAGGTCAAACTCCTCTCGCAAACGCCTTCCCAAATCTGGCATGTGCCCACCCCCATATAATATAGCGATCTTATTGTGCCCGTCACTCATTGCTCTGTCAAGTGCTTTTATTGCAGCTTTGTTACGCTCACCGATGATAACAGATCCCTCCTCCACGTCAGCTGTCACCTGTATGAACCTGGTGCACAAGTAGGATCTCGGAGTAAAACTTGAATTGGAAAGAAAAATAAATCTGTAACAGAGGCACGTCCTGTTTCCCCTCTTCATCACAGTTATCTAGCACCATCAGTACACAGTTCATGATACTAGACCGTCTACGAAAGATGACAATAAAAATGTATATAAAGATTCATGTCATAAGATCTAACATTTACGGGTCCTCAATATAACTAAAGATTATTTGGGAAATAGTTAATCATATCATAATCAAACAAATATCCGATTTAGTCTTTGAAATTCCGAAGACCTCTCTAGACAAAGTGTATTGATAGCATTTATTGGAAATTTTGCAGACTAGATTTATCTAGAAACAGAGAAAAAATGGGATGTGATAAGGTTAATACAAGGAATTCGATAATTTAGCTGACAGCCCCAGTAAAACCCGTGTGTACTATTAGAACTGAGGAAGTTCTAAGAGTATTATACCATTGGAAGTGTAAAACCAGGACAGGTCCGAGTCCCACTAATCATGGTAACACTAAATTACAACTCCTAGTCCTAGGTGGAGTTTGGTGTCTATGCTTCACAGAACTCCTGCTAAGGAGGAATGTTGGTGTTCAACACATATCACGGTATGAGACACCAACATGCCTCGGACGTGTCTGCCAGCCATGTGACATGTCCTATTTTCTATTATGAGCTTGTTTGAGCCCATTTTGTGTTCAAAATGCATTTTGGAATAGTATTTTGATTGACAATGTATGATTAAAAAATAAGGAAATGTTTTGGATTTGTATGTAATATTATTTTATTGAATAATATGTGGTTGAAAACTATATTTTGAAAAAAATGGGGACCAAACAAGGACATACGTTTTATTTATTTTCAACAAATGAGACACAACCCCAACACACTATCGTGCATAGCACTACATGTATTATGTGGCATGTCCCTACACGTTTTAGATTATTAAATTTTCAATGCATTTTCTGGGAATAAGACTTCGTTAATTACTGTTATTGTAAATTTTTGCCATGCAAGGGACATGGCCTCAACACATCAAAGGACATGGTTAGTCTCGTTTAAGAAATTTTGGAATACAAAACTAAGGAAGATTAAGTATTAAACTGACATGAAAAAATGTCAATATAATGTGAGAGAATGCATAAAGTCCAAAGTTATTTTGATATAACAAAAAACTACTCAAAAGTCATGATATTTCACTTGCAAAATTTGAAGTTCAAACCAAAGAGTGAAAAAAACGTATCAAATTTGTTGAAAACTCAAAAGGTACAAAAAGAAAGGTATGATATTAATGTATTTTAAATATTTTAGTTGATATGTACTGCATAGTAGAGAAGTGTTGGAACATCTTAGACCTATGTAACCATGATAAGGAATATACAATTTTTGGGTTAAAGCTATAAAAAATCCCGATTGGCATGCCAATAGTGCTAGGAATGCTTTCCTCGAGAATAGAGAACATTTCAAGATACTCACAGCAATAAAATGAAAAGCATGTTGTACTCTTCAAATATGAAAAATCCTTACTCAGATGTTAGCCTTTTTGCTAGGAAGACCTTCATCGCTGCACCAAAATCAAGCTTTGACAAGGCTTTTAATTCAGGATATTCTGCTGGTTGGCTTCCCACATCTGCACACAGACTTCCAATGATGACAAGACCAAGAAGAGGCATTGGCAGGACACGAGAAGCCCAAAGAAGTTTAGATCTCCAAGGACCAAGATCTTCTGGAATCAACGATTGCTTCAAAATGGCTTTGGTGGATCTAAGTGTCATATCTCTGGCAAATGTGAAGAAGCTCTCGCCTTTTTCAAGCTGCAATGGATCGGACAACATAATAAGATCTTCAAGAATAGTGAACATAAACAATTTTTCACCAACTAATAGTAATAGGATGAAAATGGCTCCTAGAAAAGAACAGCTTTTTGGATCCCTAAAGGAAATTCCAGCATAGTCGAATGATCCTTGAAGCAACCGTAGCCGGTATAGGGAAAATGGACAGCCAAAAACATTCAACGCCTTGTAGAATGGCCCTTACAAGTTCTGCCCTTCCCGCATAGGATAACGAAAGTTGTTATGAGGACTAATAGCATGTACCTGAAGTGACTTGAAAGTTTCAAAGTCGAGATCAGCATGGTACCAATTCTCAGCCTGGTATTCGAGACAATCCAATTGGAAATCAAGCATCAGCAGTCTAGCCATTTGTCGCTGAATGCATCCAATAATGTTAAATCCACGTGCATAAGTGCCCTTAAGTTTCTTTTTAGCAGCCGGATATGTTCTGCTTTCTAAACTTTCTCTGCTAGCAACCATTTCATAAAGAACACAGTCGTATAGCTCAAGCTCCTTTTGCAGTGTTGCAAAGTACCTGCAAAACAGAATACAATGCTTAGATGAGTGTTTATTTATGGTTTGACAAAACAAGAAAATTGGTTTTTCGAAAGGCCTGGGGCTGGCTGGAAGAAGCAAGTATAATGTGGAAGAACCTTCGAAAGAACCATACTTAAAATTGATGAGCGAAATTGCAAAACGAAGTAAACATACTTCTTCGATAGTAAGTATAATGTGGAAGAACCATCGAAAAAACCATACTTAAAATTGATGAGCGAAATTGAAAATTGAAGTAAACATCTTCGATCTCTCTTTCTCATCCCACGTTTCTATCTGATTCCAATTTCTAATTATACACACATAAATAGCAAAGAACTAGTTCACACCAAATACAGAACGGATGACATTTCCTCTCTCATTTTCACCTTTTTCTACTTATTTTCTTCAGTCCACCCATGTACACAACAAATTATTATTGATAAAAACATAGATAACATTGTAATCACTCCACATATTCAGTTAATTGTGACAGGAAAAATAGAACTTTAAAATTCAATTATCAAAGAAAATATTTGGAATTAGAGCCGGTAAGACTAACTCCTTATCGGCAATGTGAATTGTTGAGACCAAATCCACCTGCGCAAGCACAAAAACAAGAAACCCATGTTAAAGTAAATGAAAAAGGGGCCTCCTTACATATCCCAAATGCACAAAATTGTTAAAAAGGAAAATCCACCTGAAGAAATGGTTGAAGAAGGGACCAAGGGAACTTCTTGCGGTAGCTAACAACAGCAGTCTGCAGCTGCCCATGGTCGCCTCTCTTGAACCTCATGAAATCTGCAAACGAATTGTTTTGCAGAAACAGATCGGTTGACTTGGAATTGCCATTATCGATGAAAGATTGCTTCGAAAAAATCTTGCACTTGGAGAATCTGAAGGTTCCAGGTGAATCAAAAGTGGAATTTGAAGGAAATGAAGATAATGGTAGTTTTGGGTATGTTATAGAGAGAGAATTATGAAGCATAGCTCCAAAAAAAATGGGGATTTTTCTTCCGTCTCTGGTTCCGGTGGTTCTGGTATCACTGGTTATCCAGGAAACAACAAATAATACGCAATTTAGCTCTATCCTCTATGGGAAAATTGAACATTCAGTCCTAACTTTAACTTCTATTTTGAAGTCATGCTTCTACCTTTTTTTTTTTCGAATTTCAAATCCTCAATATTTATCTATTGTCACTAAACTTTAGCCCATGTGGTGTAGATTAAAATCAGATTAAAATTTCAAGTTAGAGTCAACAATTAATTTTAAGCATACATTTCGTAAGATCTACAATTTTTAAACACACATTTTATCAACTTTTATTGAAATCTACCCCAAAACAGGGATTTAATTTGTCTTAATTGAGTCTTTAAACTTTAATATAGTATCAAAGGTCACCACTTTGTCACATTTCGTCTCTGACGTCCTCCTAACTAATAGTTATCACTTTGTTAATCTTCGTGATTTGTAATTAACCATCTAGGAATTTGCATATGTGAAACACACACATAGTGAATCCCCCTACTTAGGTGATCGGACAACCATTATTGTTGAATGGGTACTAATGATGATATTATATGAAAGTATTATCGTTGTATCTAGCAAAAGTTGTGTGTACTTATGTCGAGCTTGCTGAAAGTTGGCCTCAAGGCCCTACACTCGGTATCGGGTATTCTTGGGAGCAATCCGTGTAAGACTTATTTAATAGCAAGGACCTAGACCTAGTTCGGTTCTTTCTCATGATTTTAACTGAAAATGAGACCATGCAAAGCATTCACTTGTTTGTGTTAGGATTGATTGTTCAAATTGAGCAATAATTTATTGATAATTTATTCTTAGAAATGCTATAATTTTTAATTTGAAGTAATATTTTTCTTACCATATTTCTATATAGTAATTTCTCATGCAAGTCTATTAATGGAAGTGCTTACTTAGCTAACACACAACCCGATTGCATATCTAGATATTAGAGTAGGTTAATTTAAGTGAATACTCATTACATCGTCCTATTGACCAAGCACCTATTTTGTGGGGAGTAAAATTAGATTTTTAATAAATTTTAATAAAAGTTGATAAAATATTTGATCGAAAAGTTGTGAATTATATATAATTAAAATTAATTGTTAAATTTGACTTATATTAACATCTGAATTTTAATTCCTGCCAAATATGGGCAAAATATTATTTCTATTATATCTAATGTGAGTGGAGTTGATATTTACTTTTATTCATGATTTGTGTGGTAGTTAATCTTTGAATTATCATCTCTACAAAAGGCATTCTTCAGTTTGCTTATTTCTTTGCATTTCAAAGAACCATTTTCACCGAAAGAAAATGCTATATGTTCAATGCAAAACTGATTTCTTTAATTCCACTGCACAAAATCTGGAGATATGATACTACAACAAAACTCCTGAACAGTCAGTAATTCATGAACAATTATGCTACTTGTACAAATGTGATTTACAAAAGTGTGTTGACAAAATGATGTGGCAAGATTTAGGTCATTGATTTGAGAAACTGTTTTTTAAATCATTGGCCAAGATATTGCCGACTCGTATTTTGTAAACCAATTTTGTAACATGTATTTTGTAAACCAATTTTGTAACCTAACTTTGTACTAGTAGCATGCCTCATTCATGAAACCAATGTTCTAAATTCTAAGGTTAGTGTAACTTCCTCCTCCGTCCCTTCTGCCTAATTTTCCAGAAGATCAGGACTTGTATAAGCCCAACAAACAGCAATAATAAATATTAATAGTTCATATCAGAAAAAAATGCAACAAGTATAGAGTGTTATCAATCATTGATGAAAAAAAATAAAAAATGGAACTTTGAAAAGTACTCACCAAGACCAACAATAGCTGGTATAAGTCAATGACGAGCAACGACCATTGGTAAATCTAGCTGTAACACAAGTAAATTTATATCAGCCTTCTTCTGCATTTTAAAGTGAGTTACACTCTACTAATGAATAAAGGGAATAGAGTCTATATGTGTTAAAAAGTGTTTATTCTTACATCATCTTTGGAAAATATGCCCAAGTATCTGTTCCCTAAATAATTAGCGGCTGATTTGGAGTTTTGAACTAGAGTAGAATTTAAACCTCCTCCACCCGTGTCAGTAAAACCATAGCCTGGCATTGTCTGATTTCTTCCTCTGACATGTAAATCATAGCCCTTTGTTCCCCATACTTCTAACTTTGAGTCACTCTGGCAAATCAAATCTTTGCCAACAACAGCTAAGTTGAGAAATTTACATCTGTTCTGCGAGATGGTAGCTGCTTCATGTCGAGATACAATTGTTTATCTTGTCTACTTGAATCTGAGAAGAGCACTGGATCTTTTATACTACTGGTAGTAAAATCTAGTGGGTATTTGGTGGAGTTTAAAATTTGATTTTTAGTAAATTATGATAAAAGTTTTTGAAATGTGTGGTTGAAAAGTTGTGGGACCCGTGAAAGATGTGATTAATATTGATTATTTGATTTAGATTTAGATTAAAATTTAATTTTAATCCAGAACAAACAAAGAGTAGGGTTTTTCTGCAAGAGCCAATAACAATTTGTAACCATATGGCTGCTGTCCAAACAGTTGGAGCCTCCATAGAGTGCAACTCGTCCACCACCAACCTCCAAAGACCAAGAATAGGTGAATTGTTAAGAAGAGCCATCAACACTCCACCTCACTGTTAAACGTGAAGACTGAAGAATCACATGGAGTGTGATTGATGCTAATGTGCACCTGTGGTCCAGCCTTTGTTTGTTGCAACTGTTTTATCCTCACATGTGATGCACATATAATTAGTTATATTTTTAGCTTGTTGATCACTCAAAACTCTTGTATATAAGTGTATCAAGCTCTGTACAATAAAAAAAAACATTTTTTGCAATACTATTTCTTCTCTTTTCAGCTTCTTTATTCTTTGGTACTGCTTTATCTATTCTCTTCATCATTTTAAATTAGTATTAGAGCCTCTAATGGCTAATACCGGATTTAATGTTAACACCCAATCAGCTCAACCTGAATCAAACACTCTGATGCCTCCAATGCTGGGAGAAAATCAGATACCAATGTTTGGAATTAGCATTTCTCAAGTGCCTCCGATAAAACTTGATAGGAATAATTTCTTGTTGTGGAAAAATATGGTCATGCCCATTATCAAAGGGCATAACCTTGAAGGATTCATCACTAGAACAATGGCGTGTCCAGTTGAATTTCTTGCAACGCAGACCACAGAACCTGCTGGTGTTACAGAAGAGATAACAACAAACATTGAATACGGAAAATGGATGTCCACATATCAGCTCCTAATGGGGTGGCTCTATTCTTCAATGACTACAGAAATAGCCATGAGCGTAATGAGATCTACAACTTCACAGAACCTTTGGAATGCTGTCCTAGAGAGTTTTGGGGTAATGAATAAATCTAAAGTCACTTTTCTCATACCAACAGACAAGGAAAGGCTTGATGAGTATTGATCAATACTTGAACACAACCAAACAACTAGCTGACAACTTGGAAATTGTAGGGAAAATCATCCTTCACAATGATCTTGTCACAAAAGTTCTTGCAGGACTTGATGAAGAATATACACCCATAGTAGTCCAAATCAACAGCAGGGATTCCATTAGCTGGCATGAATTGTAATCTGTCCTAATGACCTTTGAAAGTCGACTGGAGTACCTTAATTCTGTGAAAAATAACTTAGCCTCAGTTAACTTAAGCTAAACCTTAGCCAACTTTGTGCATAAACCAAATGCCAACAGAGGAGGTAGAATTAGCTTTGTTGGAAGAAGCTACAACAGTAGGGAAATTGGAAGAAGCAGGGGCAGATTCATCAGACAAACTGAATTCAAAGGGCCATGCCAAATATGTGGCTTGAATAATCACTCTGAATAATCACTGTGCTGACAAGTGTTTTAATCGTTATAATGAAAGATATATGGGTGGAAGACCCAGCCAGCATCATGTGAACAACTTCTCAAAGCCAGCAGCATTTGTAGCATCATCCAGCACTATTGTAGAGGCATCCCGGTTCATGGATTCTGGTGCCAGCAACCATGTCACTGTAGAGAAGAAGAACCTGTCTGAGGTTCTTGAGTATGGTGGTAATGAGAAACTAACTGTTTCTAATGGTAATAAATTGCACATCTCATATGTTGGTATCAATCACTTGTGCACTTTGAGTGATAAATATCTTGTTCTTTACAATGTGCTATTGGTGCCTTCAATTAAGAAAAATCTTATAAGTGTGTCTCAGTTAACTTCAGCTAACAATGTATTCATGGAATTTCATCCTAACCTCTATGTTGTGAAGGACAAACGAACAAAGGAAGTGCTGCTAGAAGGGGAGATTAAAGATGGGCTTTATCAAGTTGAGCTGTCAAACAAAACCAAATAATTCACCTACCAACAGTCAGCCTACTCCAAACCAGATTACTCCAATAAATTGAGTCATGCTACTTTTGTTGCTGAGTTAAAAGAGTCGAATGAGTCAAGGTTAAGACAATGGCACATGAGGCTTGGACATCCCACCATCACTCTGATGTCTCAAGTACTCAAGCTTTGTAATGAAAAATTTGATACCAATGAAATCAGTGACTTTTGTGATGTTTGTTAACTTGGTAAATCCCACTCTTTGCCTTTTAAATTGTCCGATTCACATGCTCTTGGTCCTTTAGATCTTATCCACTCAGACATTTAGGGTCCTGCACCTACAACTTCTACCTCAGGATTCAAATAATATATCCTTTTCATTGATGACTACAACAGATTCACATGGATTTATCCAATGAAAAACGTCATAAACCTATTCATTCAGTTCAAAATTTTGGTTGAAAATAAGTTTGATAAGAAGATTAAAACTCTCCAGATTAATTGGGGAGGTGAGTTCAGGGCCTTCACTGACCTACCTCTAAATTATGGAATTGATACGAGGTTATCCCGCCCTCATACTTAAGCTCAAAATGGAACAGCTGAAAGA